CTACATGGAGACTTTTAGGCATTATGGTGGCGGGAATAAAAATGGTAAGTAAGAATGTCTTTTTGTGGTTTGCTTGTTTGATCGTTTAGTTTTATGGCATATCCTCAATGTGTTATTTAATGCCGACAAGATTTTTATTGCTGGTAATATTTTTGTTTTCAAAAAAGGTATTGCTGGTAATACTTTTTTGCTGGTAAAAACTTTTCCAAAAAAAGTATTGTTAGTATTAAAACCTATTTTTATACTTTCGTAGAGTTTTGACCCCTGTTTTAGGGGTGGGGTATCTATTTACCCATAGCAATTTTTTAATAATTTCATAGTGTTGACCACAGTTGAAACCCCGCCTGACAGGTGCTACCACCCCGGGTCAGGGTGGACCTGGGAAAACCAGCAATTTAGAGCTGGTTCCACGCTCCTCAAATCCTTCTGATCAAAGGCCTTGCTGCCGGATGTAGTTTATCGTCTTGCCCAGGACGTGTTTTTGTTGTGTAAGGAATACTGTGAGATCTTCGTTTCAGTAATTGTGGTTAGCTAAGTTTAAGATAAGACAGATTGAAATCCATCCCTCCCTCTGATCCACGTTATGGCCTTGTGCCACATTTTCCTATTATTCAAAATAAATATTAATTTCCGCTGTAGTACGTAGACGTTATTTATTTAAGCGCAGTGATATTTTAGCGTCAAGGCTTCATTATTTTACACTGGAAATGGTTAGATGCAACCGTAAGTCCTGTGCTAATAGTTTCTTCTGTCGCACTTCTCACTTGTGAAATTCTCTTTTTGCTTTCCATACAGTCTTGATCTGCAAAAATCTAAATACAATGTTAATCGTTATCTTCTATGTTCTTAATTCCTCTTTTATTGTGCTCTCTCCTCAATCGTAGTTTTTATCTCGTATTCTCTAACATAACTAACGGTAACTCTTTGCGTCTTAGTTGCTTTATTGCCTTGCGTGAAGTGAAATGATTAAAAAATATGATAGAGATTGATGGCCTGAAGATTGTTTAAACATGAAACAGACTGTCGGTGATTGGTTTTGAGATTGATATCTAATTTTACATTTATATACGCTCTATCTCTGATATTGACTATATTTATCTACAAATAGAGAATACATTAAAGATATATTTTATCATACCCCGTATATATATATATATATATATATATATATATATATATATATATATAGTAATAATATAAATATAAATATTTATACTCATTTGGAAAAACCTTAGGTATTTTGGCTTGTAATTGAACAAACCAATACCCAAGGAAAAATAAGGGATAAGAAAAAGCAAGAACTAAGACCATGAAATTGAGGCGAAAACAATCGTCCAGAATCCAAGCTCAGAGTCCAAAGAAAAAAACCTCCAAACCGAGTAAAGCAAAAGTAACTATGTAAAGTGCTCAATGCGCTAAGTAGTGCAGACCTAAATATGAACCTAAAGAGCCAGGTAAACCTACCTAGGTTTCAATTACACGGATTCGTGTAGGTGAAACCTAGGTAGGTTTACCTGGCTCTTTTAGGTTCATAGTTATAGTTATATATATATATATATATATATATATATATATAATCCTAAGGAGCCAAGCAAACCTACTTAGGTTTCACCTAAACGGATCTTCAGGGTAATGCCGATTAAAAGGAAAATTATGGAACAAAATTTATTGCTAAAACCAAAAATAACCATGACAACGTGACAAAAAAAAAGAAAAAGAAAAGAAGCCAAACGATGGGTGGGGTATGTATCAGGTCATCCCATATGTTCTGTCCGAATTTTAACTTTTTGTTAAAATGAACGAAATTTAAAGAGTATTTTATAATGTCTAATGGAGCTGAACATTGTTTTTATGTTTAGATGCATTTAAACTGATCAAATCTTATTTCAGAGAACAATAAAATTAAATTTTGTTTGATTAAAACCCTGCTAACATGGAAGTACCCAAGAATCATTTGAGGCACACAATGCTTTATGAGTTCAAGAAAGGAAACTCAGCAGCCGAAGCGGCTAGAAACATTCACTCAATTTATGGAGAGGAATGTATGAATGAAAGAACTTGCAGAAAATGGTTTGCAAAATTCCAAGGTGGAAATTTCAGCCTTGAAGATGAAGATCGAACCGGACGTCCAGTTGAGTTTGAAGCAGCCCTTGAAGAAAATCCTGCTTTATCAGTTGAGGAATTGGCAGTGGTTCTCTATTTCAAACCATACAACTGTTCATCGTCATCTTCAACAACTTGGAAAAGTTCCTAAACTTAGGAAATGGGTGCCTCATGAATTGTCTGAAAGCAACCTCAAATCCCGAGTTGACATCTGCTCTTCTCTCCATTCTTGCCAACTTGTTTCACCGTTTTTGGATAGACTTGTGACTGGCGATGAAAAATGGATCTTTTATCAAAATGTTAGCTGTCGTAGACAGTGGCTTGGTAAAGGGAAGGACCCCAACCACAGCCGAGAAGGGAACTTCATGGGCAAAAGGTTCTTTCAATCTGATGGGATCGCCAATGAATAATTTTGAATTCTTACCACCTAATGCAACAATTAATGCTCAAAATACTGTCAGCAATCAGAGGTTTGAAAAGCTTTAAAGTGAATCGAAAAGGGTGATGTTTCATCAGGACAGTGCGCGACCCCACACAGCAAGAATCACGTCACAAAAGATCGAAGAACTTGGTTGGGAGAAAATTCCTCATCCACCTTATTCTCCTGATCTTGGTAGCTTACAGAATCATTTAGACGAAACAGCTTTTGTAACACAGGAAGAGGTTAAACTGACATTTGTGAGTTCTTCGAATCAAAACCAATTTTTTTTTACAGTAATGCATTTAGTAAGCTTGTTAATAGATGGAAGGAAGTCATAGATAATCAGGGAAAATACATTGTTGATTGAATCTGTAATTAAATGTAGCATTTGGTCACTTCTTTTCTTTATTCAAAATTCGGACAGAACTTATGGGATGACCTGACACTTTATTGAACAAAAAAAAAACTATTCTAATAACCAGCTTTTCCTATGTCTGCACCTACTAAGAATTTCCGATTTTTGTTCAATAAATTTTAGGTTCTTTTTAGTTAGCGATAGCAAGTTTTTCCTGGTTTGCCTGACTCCTTAGGATTATCTTAGGTTTTGCTCTACTTGGTGTATTGAGCCCTTTACGTAGTTGACTTTTTAATAGTTTTGCCTTTTTCTTTAGACTTGGAGCTTGAACACTACGATTGTTTTTCGACTTGTTTTAATGTTTTTGGTTCTTTCTTTTTTTTATTCCCCATTTTTCCTCGGGTACCGATTTGTTCCACTGCAAGTTGAGCTATCCGAGGTTTTTCCAAACGAGTACCTCCATTTATACGTTATTTTTAATAGATACAATTTATTTAAATACTTGCACCATTTTTAAATAAACAGTATTACATTTACCGATCTGAATGTTCGAGAAATATCGTAGAAAATATGTTTTTCTCCGACAGGAATCGAACCTGTAAACTCAAAGGGAATCTCCATTTGATCTGATGTGCTGTTAACCATTCAGCTACAAAGAAGCGTCTGGCTAGCAAAGTCTGAATTGCTGTTTAGAAACATAAAATCTTCGACGATCTATTCCGAACGATCATATATGGGGTTGCGGGTTCGATTTTTGTGGGAGAAGCACATATTTTCCCTCGAACATTCAGGCCGATAAATATAAATAATATTATTTATTTAAAAAAAGGGACCATTTACTTAAATTGAAAATAACGTATAAACATAAAATATATTAAATAATTGTGGGATTTAATCAATTTCGTAATATGTTGTCAATGTTTACGTAAAGGTACGTTTCGTGAGCAGATATGATCGTTCGAGAAAGATCGTCGAAGATTTGTTGTTTATAAACAGTAATTCCGACTTTACTAACACGACGTTTCTTTGTGGCTGAATGGTTGACAGCACAAATAATGGTTCCTATTATTAGGGTTACAGGTTCGATTCCTGTCGGAGACGTACACATTTTATTCGAAATTTCTGGAACATTGAGGCCGTAAATGAACTTACAACTGTTTATTTAAAAAACGGAGCATTTAATTTAATGTATTGTATCTATCAAAAATAGCGTATAAACTGAAAATAAATGTCGGGTTTAATCCATATATATATATATATATATATATATATATACACACACACACACACACACATATATATATATATATACGAAAAATATATTCTTAAGGTGTGCTATATTTATGGCATAAAGTGCTCAATATCAGAGATAGAGCGTGTGTAAATATAAAAGCGAACATAGTTTTCTTAGAGGCGACAGTCTGTTTGATCATGTTCTGATGATTGCATCTAGCATGAAACAGTCTGTCACCTCTAAGTGTGAGATTCAATCTTCACTTTATATATATATATACATATATATATATATATATATATATATATTGAATTGATTTTTATCAGACATTATCTATTATTAATATAAACGTTATTTTACGTGGCTACACGGGTTTGAATTGCTATTTTAGTTTTTTTTTTCATTAACCAAGGAAATTAATAACAGGCAACCTAGACTGAGATGTCCTACTAACAAAAATAATTGTGCTTCCGGTTGGAATCGAACCTGGTTCAATTCCTTTTCTGGTTCTTTGCTTTCCTGCCACCTATAATCTTCACAAATTCAGATGCAACGTCAACCGTTACCTTCTATCTTCCTCAATCATGTTCTTTAATTATCCATTCTCCTCACAGATGTCTTTTCATTTTTTTACACCCTCAGTAACCCTTTCCGTCTTAGTGACATTCTCACCTTGTTTGGGGTGAAATGATTAAAAGAAAAGATTGAAGCATTACCCTTACCCCTTTGCTCGTAAGTGGGCCTCAACCCAAGGGAATGGATGCATGCATGAGTCGATAGCCAAATTTTGCTCAGGTAGTTGTGTCTTACCTACAACTATGAGTATAAATGATGTGCGCATGATTTCTGACCTGGTTTAGCTTGGCACAAAACGACTAACATTTGAGATGACCTTCACTTGTTTCTCTTTTTCTTTCCTTTTTTTTTCTTTTGAGCTTTTACATTAGTAAAAGCTCAAAAGGGAAAAAAAGAAAGAAGGCTTTTTTCTTCGATTTTTATACATAGAAGGCTAATGCAATTTTTAGGTTAGCCTGTGAACCTGTGGCTTGAGTTTTAATTTTCTCATTGCTTGATCCTTATCCCCAGAGGTAACTGAAACATTGCATATGTTTACCGTAGTGAAGTCGCCGACCTTTAACTTTAATTTTAAAGTTGAAATGAATTTGTTACAAAAAAATAAATAACATTAATTCCTTCTGACTTATCAGTGATATTAACATCTTACAAGGTGCTGAAAATGAATTATCTGGATAGTTTAGTAACAGACGATGGGAAGTGTGACACTGAAATCAAAACATGACAATAGTGAAAGATGCCTTTCAGAAACTAAGCAGAGTATTAAGCAAAAAGAAAATCCGTTAGGAAACAAAGAAAAATATTCGTTCGAGCATTGGTGTCGTCATCCTATCTCTTTATTTCCTTTATCCCTTCGGGTGCCAGTGGCGTAGATAGATATGAAGGACCAGTCTATTCCTGAGGAGTCTTGAGCAGGAGTCACAGAGGAGTTTGGGTGATGGACGCGGCTGGGCTAGTCGTCCAACGTGTGGGCGCGAACTAAGTAAGCTTTGCTCCGTCGCTCGCGGAACCATCGTCGCTGGACTTGCTGAAGGACGGTAAAAAGCAAAGTCAAAGAGAGTTTGATGAGGCCATTCGCGCGAATTTGGTTTTGATGGGCAATTCTGCGAGAGGGAGAAGCACACACACTACACAGCAAAGAATGTTGGGCAACCTCATTACAGAGAAAGAAGAGGCTTGAAGCGACCGAGACATAGTTCTATTTAGGAACCTATGCATCTTGAGAATATCATGGGAAGAACATGTGAGAAATGGGGAAGTTTGAAGGCGAAGAAAAACTAAAATCTCCCTCTAATAATCATAAAGCGACAGCTAAAGTTTTGGGGATATAAAAAAAATGTAAATAGTGCAGCCACACGAATCCAAGGACGTCAGTCTACTATGGTGGCTAGCTAATCCCCACTGCAGACTCCTGCTCAGGCACATTTGTGCTTGTTCAACACCCACAGAGCCAACCTGTGGTTTATACTGAAACTATGCTGAGTGGACCTTGAGTAGAGCGCGTTATCCAGTGCGATCATCAGTCTGAACAAGGATAGCACTCTCAAACCTCGGTCCCGATGAATTGTGACTTCGTGCAAGCACAGACACCGACAGCTCCCAAGGTTTTCGGGATATATAATGTGAATATCAAGTGAATATTACAAACTATATGAACTGTAATGAATTCGATCCTCACTGAGTACCCTGTATTTGTTGCCTTCTGACAGATTATTAATAATAATAATGATCGATTTATAACCCACGCAAGTATCTCTTCCAATTTATTTTATTTTTGCTGAGTTATAAATTAGCCTCTATGTGCCATGTCCCCAAGGGTGTAGGTGGCCATGGCTCTCCATAATTTCCTTTTCTTTGAAGCTCTTAGAAAATTTTGTCTTTTCGTTATCTCTCTTAAACCTTGTTCCGTCACCCATTTACTCAATCTCGTTAGGTATGTCTCCCTCTGCACCCCTTTGCCTCCAATATATCCTGTGGGTGTCAAATGTTCTAAACCCTCTGTCCTCATTATGTGCCGCAGAATTTCCAGCTGTCTTTCCGATATCAAGTATAAGTGTCATTTTTGTTTCCATTTTCTCTAAAAATCCGTCGTTCAATCTATGGTATCCTCAACATCCTTCTGTAGAATCACATTTCTGTTTTCAAGTCTCTTCATCCGTGAGAAGGTTGTATTGTCTGGCATTCCCTGCTATATTAGCGGACTGATATTACATAACAGTTCAGTGATCTTTTCTTTGGTTCTAAGTATTGTTTTCTGTTTCTTATTACTTTGCTTAGCTTTTGGAAGACATCTTTCGCTACCCCAACGTCCCTTCAAATATTACTGTCACCCTTTCTGTCCTCACTTAAAGCACATTCTGTGTCTGATAATTTCTCAGATATTCTTTGCTTACGGGTATAATTATTTTACATCTGTCATAAAATATCTGAACATGAATTATTAATAATAATAATAGTAATAATAATGAATACGTGTGACCTTAGGTTTTTTTGTTTGTTTTTTTACAAAAATGTTCAGTGCAAAATGTCATGATGCCATTTCTGACTTTTGCTCACTCGTTGGGACCCGAAAGGAAATGAGTATGCAAACCGTCCAACCTCCCTCTACTTGACGGGATATAGCGAGTCTCATATTGCGATGAAAAGTGCTCGGCCGTACTACATTCTTTGATTCCGTAAGGCCTGGCCTTTACGGCGAGGACCCGCCATGACACTTACATGGTAGCAAATCACCCAGATTTCTCCATATTCCATCGGCGAGAAGTAAGTTCTACTCGAACAGCTTGTTCAGACGAACCACTGTGGAATTGACTCCCAAGAGGATGTTTCCCCGATCACTACAAGCTTAATCTTTTCAAGAGTTCACCGCTATCTTCCCCTCTTATACGTATAAACTACCCTTGACCTAACCCTCTACCTCGAGAGGCTTCCGGGTCTTGTACAGGGTGAACCTTACTGTAAAAAAAAAAAAAAAAAAAAAAAAAAGAAATCCAAGGAAATAATAGATATTTACCATATAACATGGAAATGTGAACGAAACAAGAGAGGCTATTAACTTCAAAACGGCAAATACTGACCGTAGGGAAACTGAAGTAAAAACGTAAATTGTAGAACGGAACAATTTCTTTTCCTTCTTTTGATTTATTCAGTTAATTTGTAGGCGAGGTCGGATTAAGGCCAATTGATGCAATACAGCAAAGACTAACAACGGTGACCCTTTAGTCTTTCCCAGATAATAACTACACCGGGAATGGCCATTTTTAATTTACAACGAAAATATATTCATAAACGCTATTTGTTCTTAGCATTAGGCAATTTCAACTGAATTTGGTTTGGTTTAGACAATCTTTAAGTTAGAGTTTCGTTCAAAACTTTTTTTTTTATGTTTTAGATTATTTTGCCTATTCAGACTTGCTGGATAATGGTATTATTGAGAACAGCAGATTGTAAATTTTAGGTAAACCTCTCTCTAAAAACTTTGGATGCTATGCACTAATGGGTTAAAGAAATTCAGCTATCCTAGCTTAGTAGGAGTTAATTAAATCAAAGAGAGCATAAAACCTACTGATTATTAAATCCAGGGCGTAGATTTTAGCCTATTTATCATACCATGTACTCTTTTCAAGGTCATCTGACAGCAAAAAAAAATCTTTATAGGATGTATACTCCCTATCATTGTTGTTTTTTGAGGTGTTTATTTACAGTATTTATTTATTATATTGTTTATTCGAAACATTGGCTAATTGCCAATTGCTTCGAATTTTATAAAATGGTAAATAATAAGGTTTTCCTTATAATTGGTTCCCATATTTTAATAATTTAGTAAATGTTTATAAATTTATGAATAAAAAATCGTTTCCTATTTACGGTATATACACACACGTATCATTTGAAAACCTAATATAAAGATAATGTTAAGGGGATCGCATCCTTCACGAGATATAAAATTAGCGTATGTACTGTTGGTCCTGGCTATGCCGTTGACCAAACTATATATCCATTTACTGTAGTCAATTTAACTTCAAAATTGGCTCTTGAAAGGTTGCAAGGTATGTGAGTATATACGCTAGTTCTTTATAAATTTTTAAAGGACAAATATTGTATTGCATTAGATTTAATTGTATTAGATTTTATAGTGTTGTAAATATAAATTATACTTGTAAATAAACAATCTAATAGTGTTTAATATTTTTGTTGTAAATTCTCAAGAACAAAAAAAATGTATGAATTCACTTTCATCATATATTTAGATTTTATTAAAGTTTTAATCATCTTTTTTTAAAAACAGTAAACATTGCTGAGGAGCGAAGGTAGTTAAAATAATATCGGTGTCAACGGAAAAACCGTTCTTTTAACAATTCGATTTTTTTGGTGGGGTGTGCCGGAAGGACCAAGTTTGCCCTGTTAACGTTACTGTAACTTTGCAGTCAACTATTTTCCTCGCTGCTCAGCATGAACATTCCCACGTTATCATATCATTGCAACGTTCTGTAGCCGAATAATCACCAGCTGGTCAAATAACATCGGAATATTTATTCTTTAATTAACAATTATTTAATTGAAGATCACTAATTTAGATGATGAATACACTTTCTAATATTTTTTGGAATTTATTATACATTCTCAATTTTTTCCATTCGGCAAGGCACAAGAGCCTGAAGTAGTGATCAGTGAAACATCTTCCTGTGAGTAAGTTCCACAAAGTAGCTATTCGAGTGGAACTTACATCTCAGCTTAAATACAAAGGGAATGAATGTTGTTTCGTTCGTTCCATTATGCGCGGCATAAATCTATGCCGGTAGACTGTTCCATGTCGAAGCAAAGAAAAACCATTCCATATCTAGGGATATCTCATCTCGTTATTTTTCGTACTGTTCACTCATTCCTCGCCTCTTTCCAACACAAGAATTGTCAACAGTTTCTTGAACCAACGATTTATTCCACTTGGCTATTGTCCCGTAGGACAATTCTGTGTAGTGAACGTGGAGCCTTAAGTCTAACCTGAGTGCTGACTAGTGCTGCTATATATTTACTACTGCCTGTCATGCTTGACTGCTACTGCTGTTGAAATTTTGCTGTCATATTTTAGGACTTTTATATATAAAGAGATCATCCTATCATGGCTAGAAGACAAACCTTGTTAACAATTAACAAATGAAAAGAATAGCAAATACTGAAGATAGTCAGTCTTGCCTATAATTATGTCTGCACTTGGAACAGTGCCAAATACTCTCGGAATGATGACTAGATAAAGTAAATTTTCCAACAAAAATGGATAGATTCAAACCACAGTACTGTCTTGAAAAACTGTGAAACATTCTGGTTATTTCAGGCTTACTGTCACTTGATCCCTAAATATTTTTACCACAAATAATAATAATAATAATAATATGCTTTGTTAGTTGGAATCTCAGATGGATCGCATTCATAATTATTGGTTCCCTGGGGAATGTCACAGAGACCTTAGCAAGAGATTGAGAAAAAAAGAGAGAGAAAATGGCGATTTCGACTAGTGCCATGTTGAAGTCTGAGAGCATATTGAAGAGAATGTGGAAGATTTGAAGAGACATGATATTACTCAGTAATCAGCGAGAGCCTCTTCAAAACTCTACTGGGAAGCTACAAATAACAATAACAATAATAATAATAATAATAATAATAATAATTATTATTATTATTATTATTATTATTATAATAATAATAATAATAAAATTGTCTTTTCAGCTTTTCCCTGAGAATTCCATTTCAAATCAAAATCCTGATTTCTTTTATTCTTTCCAAAGTGATTGTTTTAGCGGAATTTATACCAAAACCATTTTTTAGAATTTTACTTGCTTATTTGTTGCTCTTTCTACGTTCTTTCTTTCTTTTTAATTACTTACTTTCTTTCCTTTCTTACTAATTTCTTTTATTTTTTTCTATTTTAGTTTGTTTTCATTTGCTTGCTTCATTTTATTTATCGTACTTCTTTTCTTTTTTTTCTTTCTCTCTTTCTTTTTCTTGTATTCTTCTGACTTTCTTTCTTTGTTATTTTTCTTCAATCTTTTATTTTTGTTTTCCATTGTTATTCGATTTTCTTCTGCTGCTACAAAACCCTTTTTTATTCTTTTCAGATTAACTCCTTTAGTTTCTTGGTTGGTTCTTTTTCTTTCATTCATTTTTCATTTTCTTTGATTTCTTTCTTTCTGTCTCTCTTTTTTTTTTTACTTTCTTTCTCCATTTCCTTTTTTTTTTTTTTTTGTCTTTTGTTTTCTTCAGTTTTACTCCTTCCCCCTTTCCTTTTACTTCTGTATACTTTTTCTTTCGTTTTTTCTTTCTTTTTCTTTCTTCCGTACTTGCGTCTTTCATTCGCTTCTTTTCTTTTCTTCGTTTTTTTTTTTTTTGGTTTATCTTTCTTTGACTTTGTTCTTTTTTCCTTCCTTCCTTCCTTCCTTCCTTCCTTCCTTCCTTCCTTCCTTTTCCTTTTGTGTCCCTTTTTTCGCGTTTGTAGCTTTTTTGGTTTTGGGCTTTCTGAGTTTATTTTACATTGTTTCTCTCCTTATCTTTTTTTCCTTTTTCTGTTTTCTTTTTTTTTTCTTTCTTTCTTTTCATTTACTTTTTTTTGTTTTTATCTTTCTTCGTAGTACATTAGTATTCTGTTTTTATTTTGGACAAAATGTTCCTGCAGGCTTTCCTCACAGTTTATCAGTCGTATTTGCTTTTCTAAATAGTTCTTTTATCTTCGCTTACTTTTTTTTCTGCCTATTTCTTAGTTCTCTTCTTTTTTTTTTCTTTGCTGTTTCATATTTTTCTTCTTATTTTTGGTGCTTTTTCCTTCATTTCCTTTTCGTCCTTTTCTGTTTGTTTCTTTATTTCTTTCTCGCTTTTTTATTGCTTTGATTCATCGTTCTTTTTCTTGTTTCTTTTTTTTTTCTTCTTCATTGTTTATATTGATCATATTTGGAATTTTTAATCTTTCTTTCTTTTCCTTCTTCTTTCATTTTGCTCCTCATTTCCTTTCTCTCTTTTTTATTTCTTCCTTCTTTTCTTGTTTCCTTTCCACTTGCCATGTCTAATCAATGTTTTGCTTATTCAAGTATTTTTTTATTATTATTTTCCTTTGTATTTTCACTTTTCTTCCTTGTCGATATGTTCATTTACTTTCCATTCCCTTTCTCTTTTGTTTTTTAACATTGTTTCTTTTCTTCTTCTTTCTTTCTTGCTATTTTCTTCTTCTTTCTTCACTTCTCTTTCATTTCTGTCTATTAGTTTCTTTTTGTGTTTTTTATTCGTTTTTAATTTCGCTTTTCTTTTTCTTCTTTCCTTTATTTTCCGTTTGTATTCCTGGTTTTAATTTTACCTTCATTTTATGACGCATTACGTATTTCTATTTCCGTTTCGTATTTTGTTTTATATCTTAAAATTCTTTTTGTTTTCCTTTACGTTTTTCCTTATATTCTGTTTCTTTTTATCTACGAATTTCTTTAATGAAATAACGGATTATATCGCAGTTCGTACCAAAATATGATTTATTTCTTTTAAAAGTACTTCAGATTGTACGCCTAAACGTCTAAAAAAGATACAAATCTTCGTACCTTTTATCCTCTCTGATTCATCATAAATAAATAAATCTAACTCCAGCAGACACCCAACATTGAAACTCTATAATTAAAAACAAAAATTTTAATGCATAAAATTCAACTCTATTAACGGGTACACACAATATATATTGCTCACAATGCTTGATTACAAAGCTAAAAAATAAAACAACTGAAAAAATAAACATTTGAAACCTGAAAATTCCTGGAAAATCAGTACTTAATATTAAAAGTGTCAAAAGTAAGATAAATGAGATTTTAAAAATATGTCATTACAATACCGATGAGCAGAGACAAGTACGCATCATCTAATAATATATATATATATATATATATATATATATATATATATATATATATATATATATATTGGGGAAATAAATATTCGTACACATGAAAAATTGTATTTTCATAAATGTAAAATTTTGATACATGTTTTGTGTAAAGATACATTTTATTAAAAAATAGTAATAAACTTAATTAATTCTTATTTTATCAGATGTTAATGCATTTTTTTTATTTTAACTGATGAAAAATGTATTCGTACAAAACCAAAAAAGCATATTAACTTAATTTGATACTTTGGGGAATTCCTTTATTGAGTTCAACGGCTACCAGTCTCTTCCTGTACGTCTCAACTAATGATTTGCACACATTGAGTGGTATTTTGTCCCATTCTTCTTGGCATATTGTCTTCAAATTCTTGATATTTGTTGGTGCTCATTTCCCAATTTGAATTTTCAAATATCGCCATGAATTCTCGATTGGGTTCCAGTCTGGGGACTGACTTGGCCATTGCAAGACATCAACGTTACTTTCAGCTAACCATTTCCTTGTAGATCTAGCGGTATGCTTAGGATCATTATCCAGTTGGAAAACCCAATCAGTAGGTAACCGAAGTCTCTCAACAGAACGCATTAAATTGTCTTGCAAGATTTTCTGGTAGCTTTCGGCATTCATCATGCCATCTCTTATTGATATTCTGCCAACACCAGATCATGATACTGCCACCACCAAACTTTACAGTTAGCATCGTGTTCTTTGGTAAGTAGGCTTCACCGTCCTTCCTCCACACATGATTTCGATAATTATGACCAAACAACTCTATTTTAGTTTCATCTGTCCATAGTACTTTTTCCCAAAAACGAATATTCTTTATCCTAACGAATTTTAGCCTAGCATCTCTGTGTCGTTTCAAGAGGAGTGGAGTCTTCCTTGGGATGCGTGATTTCAGACTGTTTTTGTGTAGTTCATTACTTATTGTACGCTTGGTTACTTTAATCACTAATGCACGCAGATGTTCCTGCAGCTCTCCCCGGGTAACCTGTGGATTTTGTTGGATCTGGCGTCCTAATATCCTTGCTGATCTTAGAGAAATCTTCCTCGGAGCACCTGTTCGTCTTTGGTTTTCGACGCTGTTACGAGTTTTAAACCTTGCAATGAACGAAGCAGTTGTAGTAAAAATAATATTCAGGTTGTTAGAAAATGTGTTGTTTTTGTGAAATAGTCAATTCTTTACTTTTAGGCATTATTAGAACATTCTCGTAAGACTAGAAATTGCAGAATGCTCTGATAATGGCTAATAGCGTTAACTATAATTACTGATAACTTTACTGGAACATTCTAGAATATACTTTTTTCATAATTAATTGATTATTTTATTCTAATAATTGATTTGTACGAATACTTTTTTCACCATTTAGAATTTTAAAAAATGCATTAATTTCTGTTAGAATAAGAATTAATTAAGTTTATTATTATTTTTTAATAGTATGTGTCTTTATACATAAAAGTGGACATTTTAGGTCAATAAATATTGGCGACAGTTTCTTTCCTGCTTGAACACAATCTACAAGTTATGTGTGTTGCGTGGTGTCTTTACTATTTATATATGCTGGTCAATGGGGCATTATGGGTAACAAAGTCAGGCATTTCCGGTTTATTATATTATGGTAATGGTTATACTAAGCGTTATATTTCAATGCCCAGGACTGTTCTGAAAGGCGCACACACACACACACACACACACACACACATATATATATATATATATATATATATATATATATATATATATATATATATATATATTATATTAAAAAGTTTATTGAACACATGTACGGCGATGGATGAATATATTCGTCTTTCTTCTGTTCATTATTGATAGAAAATAAATTTGGTTTCAATAGAAGAGTAAATTCCCACTGCAATCTCCACATGTTCGATGTTCTTTAAAAAAAATGATTCAAAGTTTTTATACTGATTTATCAAATTTTGGCTTCATTTAATCTATCAGTTGGTTAGCGTAATAATTATAGCTGTGATTGCAGAATCAATATCTGTGAGTCCCACGACATGCTGCTGCTGCATCTGCTAATTCGATCTTATAAAACCGATTTTATTGTCAGTCGTAGAATACAACTTGCACCTGCACTTTTAAGAAGAAAAAAGTCACTCTCCTCTAAGTTCATTTGAACAAGGATAGTGGTGTATCATTTGTTTCTTGTTTCGGATTCTCATTCTCTTTCACTCCAAGTAACACCTTATGTCTTCGTGATATTATCGCATTGCTTGGGGGGAATTGATTAAAAAATAAAAAGGTAGACAAATCCATTTTCGGTTTGGTTTGGTTTGGTTTGGTTTGGTTTGGTTTGGTTTGGTTTAAGGCATATCAACCTCAACAGGTTATTTAATGCCTAGAAAAATTTTATTGCTAGTAATATTCTTTTTTAAAACTGTATTGCTGGTAATAATTTTTCTAAAATGTATAACAGGTAATATTTTTTACAAAAATGTAGAGCTGGTAATAACTTTGTACAAAGTATTTCTGGCATTAAAGCCTATTTTTACATTTTCATAGTGTTTTAACCCCAGGGTGGTGCTGGGAACACCAGCAATTAGGATGGTTCCATGCTTCTCAAAACCTCCTGATCCTTGTTATCGGATGTAGTTTATCGTCTTACCCAGGACGTGGATGTAGTTTATCGTCATACCCAGGACCGCAATTTTCAGTTTATACCATGTCCAATATTTCCTGACATGTAGAAAATTAGATAATACATAGCAGTTCAGTATTGTTTTCTTTGTTTCCGGCAAAATCTTATTATCTTCTAATACTTTGGTTACTCCTTGAAAGATATTTCGTTAGAAACGTAAAGATAAACACAAGCCGGGTTGCACTAGATTAATTAAAAAAAAAACAAAAAAACTTACATACATGTCCGGTTTACACTAAACACAAAAAAGAGAGACAGGTCAGGTTTGTTTTAAAGTCAAAATATAAAATATTAAAAAAAAGTTCTCAACTGCATTAACCGTGTATTGAACTCACACTCTTTGGGTCCTGTCACTGGATCTAACCAACGCCGTTATCCATTGTGCCATGTGTCCTCAAGCGCATATGGCACAGTGGATAAAGGCGTTAGATTTAGTGATAGGACCCAAAGATTGTCAGTTCAATACTCGGTTTAGGCAGTGGAGAACTTTCAGAGGGAAATTAGCAGAAGATAACTGACAACCGACATCCATTAAACATGGCACGTGGAACTAGAACAGTCTACCCCAGTGAGCGAAATAAAGGGTTAAGTTCGACATTCCAACCACCTGATGAAGGCCGGAGCGCACAACGGCCGAATCTTTGTAATAAATATGGCGACAAAGATGAGAACAATAGTCCGAATAATGTAAATAATGTACATAATACATCATCTCAGAAATATAGACATATTTACAGGATTCCATGGATAAATCGTTGCCTAAATTACGCGAAAATGAAAATAACACTGACATCTCATTTTAATAGATATATTTGACAAAATGACACATTTCTTAAAATATTAAACAGCAAATGTATTCAATAAAATCGCAATTCCCTTCAAGCACGGCCTTCAGACGCCTTCGGAATCTCCTTCAAATCTTCTGGACGGTCTTCGTTTTTAATTAGTTAAATGCTGCCATAATCATTCCTAACAATATTTTTTAACAAAGTATTTCTGGTATTAAAACCTATTTTTACACTTTAATAGTGTTTTGAGCCCAGTTTTGAGGTTAACTATTTGCTCATAGCTGGGACCCTAACAGGTTCTACCACCCCGGGTCAGGTTGGACCTAGGAACACCAGCAATTAAGAGGTGGTTCTACGCTCCCCAAAACCTCCTGATCAGAGGCCTTGCTGTTCGACGTAGTTTATCGTCTTACCCAGGATGCGGATGTAGTTTACCGTCATACCCAGGACTGCTGTATAGGTTGAATAAGTCCGGTGAGAAGACACATCATTGCCTTACGCCCCTTTCTATTTTTGTATATCTACTGAATTCATTTTCTATCCGTTTGCTGCCAGTATAGGTTCTTGAGTGAGAAAACAAAAAAGATGATTATAGAACCGGTTTACTCCGAAGTCAAAAATGTTGGTTTTATAACCGAGCCTGCAAGATGTCTGCAACTCTCCATCCGGAAAGCGGCACCTATTGTAGGAGTGTCTTACGCCTCTATAGTCGGCATATTTTAAGCCACACCTACGGGGAGGAAGTAAGTGGGATTGGTCCGTTAGTAATTTTCGGAGTTATATTTGGTTTGGGATGTAATCTACGGAGGACAAATTTGTTTTTTTTTTACAGAGAGCTCTTAAAATACAACCTTATAGCACAATCAGCTTAGTCTAAAAACGAGTAATTAGTTTGCCAATTATTTTCTTTTGAGGGAAAGAAACGAATAAAAATACCAAATACATTAGTTTTAGAAAATTGTTTAATTTGTTTAGTGTCACATCAGTCACCATCCAACCCCCCCTCTCTCTGTCTGTCTCTCTCTGTCTGTCTCTCTCTCTCTCTCTCTCTGACGGCATGTGGCAAGCCTCTCGCTGCTCTATCGCTACTTTCACGGAAAGTGCTCCTACGAACTACATTCCTTGGTTCCGCCAGATCTAACCTTCACGGTAAGGACCGGTTATGCCACTCAGAGCGTACCAAACCATTCACATTCCTTTTTTATTCCACCGTTGATAATTAAGTTCTACTAGAACAGCTTCTTCTCGTGAACCACTGCTTTATTTCGTTCTTTCTTTCTTTCTTTCCAGCTCTTCGATGTTTATCTCTCCTCCCCTTTACAATTCTTTCGTTTTTTTATTTCTTATCCCTCTTTCATTCTACATATCGCCTCTCTCTCTCTCTCTCTTTCTTTCTTCTCTCTTTCTTTCTTCTCTCTTTCTTTCTCTCCTTCTTCATGTCATCCTGTCT